TGACATAAGAAACATGTGTTTAAAATATATATATAAATAATTTTAGGGTAGGAAAAAGTATATAAAAAATAAAATAAAATAAAATAAAATAAAATAAAATTTTCTGGCACATGAAAAATTGAACGGAGAGGAAGGAGAGGCTGCGAACAAAAAAAAAATCACTGTAAAAATTGTAAAACAAAAAACAAATGACATAAGAAACATGTGTTTAAAAAATATATATATATATATATAAATAATTTTAGGGTAGGAAAAAATGTATAAAAAATAAAATAAAATAAAATAAAATTTTCTGGTACACATGAAAAATTGAACGGAGAGGGAGGAGGAGAGGCTGCGAACAAAAAAAAAAATCACTGTAAAAATTGTAAAACAAAAAACAAATGACATAAGAAACATGTGTTTAAAATATATATATATATATAAATAATTTTTAGGGTAGAAAAAAGTATAAAAAATAAAATAAAATAAAACTTACGCCGTAATACTTTTGGACAACGACCACCGTTCCATGGCCGCTTGATATTTCATGTTCTCGATCTGTTTCTTCAATGTGTCCTTGTCCATGGTAGCGAGTACACTGGGATCCATGGTTACAGCCGCACCCCCCTTGTTGCAATCGAGGATGTAGCGCTTGCGCCTATAAGGAAAATCAATAAAACAGAGAAATATTCCTTTGTATGTGTGTATATCTATATACATATGTATATATGTGTATGGGTGTCTGTATGTGTCAGAGTCAGGGCGATCTGCTTTCGGACGCATTTATGGAAAGTAGGAAAGGATTGGATATGGTTGAACAAAATTATGCACATATATACATATGCACCTGTGAAAGATCGAAATTGGTGAATGTCAAGATTCACAGAGGCGAATGTTAAGATTCACTTTGGTGAATGTCAACATATACCGAATCCTACGTCGGTGGAAGATCGAATATTTGGATCATTTTTTTATAGATCAATATTTTGGACATAAATCAAACGATTATGCGAATTTTGATATTCTCCAATTTCGATTTTTCACGGTACACACATATATATGGATAATGTCAAGATTCACATGGGTGAATGTCAACATATACCGAATCCTACGTCGGTGGAAGACCGAATATTTGGATCATTTTTTTATAGATCAATATTTTGGACATAAATCAAACGATTATGCGAATCCTGACATTCAATTTCGATCTTTCATGGTACACACACACACATCTATGTATTTCTATGTATTTATGTGAGTAACCAAGTTCTTTTAAAAATCATCCCTTTAAATAATAAACAACCCCTACCATATCTAATTACGAATGATTTATTTATAATTATATTTTGTATTCTTTATTCCGAAATGAATTTATCAAAAACAGTGTCGAGATACTTTTTTCACGTGTTTCGTTCGAGTAATTTAACCCTTTGAGTACTGAATACTTTTAACTTAAGTGTTTTACAGATACGGAATAGTTTATTACTAATACGTTTGTTTCGTTGATTAATTTTATTTTAATTACATCTAAATAATAAATTATATATATAATAATTAAAATATTTGATTTGTTATATTGTATATAATTTTTATACAACAATTATTCAAAACAATAATCAATTTTCAAAACCAACATTATATTATTTTACATTTATATTAACAAACGCATATATGCGTCCACAGCAGTGCCCCCTGCACCCCACCTACCCCTTGTATTATAAATTTGTAAATCATGCAATTCGATTTTGATTATTGCAAATGTTTGGAAATAAATATTGTTGGAATGAAAAAAAGAAATAAAACAAAACAATCGTGTTTTTGTTTGATATTAAATTATTGTTCGAAGTAACTCCTCGATCTTTATCGATCATTCTCGATCTTTTATCGAAAAATTGGATTTCCATTCGTTTGATAAGATTCTTCGGTGTACTTGAGAAAGAACGATCGAGAAAGGTAGATTAAAAACTCTCAACGAAGAAGATAGAAGGAAAGATAAGAGATAAAAGTTACAAGATTTTTATAGATTAGATTCGAAATATCGTGGATCCATTTAACTTGTTTCAACAAAAGATGGAATTTTAAGGGGTTCCTCGATTATTTTTATACTTGGATCCTTGCTTTTTTATTTTTTGTCTTCGTAAATTCTAGAAATCTTTTTCTTTACATACATAAATATATATATGTATATGTATATGTTACCTGATACGTATAATAAAAACTAGTTTCTTTCTTTTCTTTTTTTTTTTCTTTGATCATTAACGTGAAACATGAACTGACGATTATGAAAGTATTCTGAGTCATTCGAGATACATATTTAGAATCGCGTGTTATATTTTTAAATAATATAATTCAATATGTAAAAAGAGAAGAAGTATTATTTTTTTCGATATATAAATTATAATAATTAATTAAATAATTTAATATCAATGATTCTACGAAATATCTTCAATAGAAAAAAACATTATATTGTTTTAAATTGTTATCATAATTAATTAATAATGTATTATTATAATTGTTACACAAAAAAATTAAAGTAAAGTAATGATAAGATATTGTACAAAAATTTTGTAAGTTGTGCAATAAAAATCTGATTATATATAATTGTTATACAAAGTTATTGGGTTAGTTTCATTGATATTATTATTTAAACATATTTTTTTTTTTTTTTTATTATTAATAAAAAGAATTTATTGTTGAATATCATTAGAAGTTACTTAAATAAAAATCTTTAACGTCAACAATATTATTCTCAAACGTGACTTTTATTATTATACATCCCGATCTGTTAATTTTTACACGTATAGACTGAATAAAAAATTTATTTTCTACTAAAATCAATTTCTATTTTTTTCCTACGAAATAATTAATAACGAGATTTCATGGTTTTTTTCTTCCCCTTTTTTTTATATATATTAAAACTACACAACACACAGATCGCAGAAGATTATTTGAATCACACGCGTGTTTCAACTATTCCTAATTTGTTGGGAAAAAAAATAGAAATAAATAAATAAATAATATTAGAACGTGAAAAGTAAAAAAAAAGACTCACCTGGTCGGAGGATAGAAAAATTCTGAGCCGATGTGTCAGCTAGTTGGCTTCACGATTTGCTCATGGAAGCCCCAACGAGAAGTCCGGACAATCTAATTTGTTAGTAATTAACCTGCCTTCGATATTTCTTCAATTTCTACATACATCACCGACTAAAAGTTAACTAAAAATATATTATACTACGTATAAGCATTTTATAATATAATATATATACACATATAACATAATATTATTATAATAATCATTAATAATAATAATATAGATACAATTAATGTACAATTAAAATACAGAAATCAATTATTTTATATTGATTATTTAGATAATATGCAAATTAACTAGGATAATCAGTTAATTAAAAATTGTTTCATTTTTCAAATTACTTATGTACATATGTATGTGCATAATATGCATATATGATAATTTGCACATTACTTACACAAGACACTCGTTAAAGTGAAAATAAGATCATTGCTGAACAATACACAGAGCAACGTTTTTTGTTTTGTTTTAAATAATAATTATAAAATATTTACAATATAAATCTCTTGTGTTTTCCCATTGGTCTACAAAATCTGCAGACTATTCTTGGATTAGTATAACATACATATGTTTTACATATCTATTAGGAACCGGTTGCGCATCGAATCCGATCGATTTTATTTTTTTATGTATTATACGAATTTATACATTTACGTATGTATGCGTGTGTGTGTGTATATGTTGGAGAGAAAAGGGTAGGACCATATAGATAGCCGATTTATTTATAAATTTCTTTTGGAATTCTAAAAACAAGATTACTGGATTTCCAAAAAATGGCGGATTACCGAATACGGTTAACAGAAAAATTCCTTATTATTTTTATACAATATCTATCTATATATATAGGTATATATACAAGTCGTGTTAAATTTAAAATTCATTCAAGACGATGATAATAATAATAATAATAAAAGAATGACGAGATTAACGATAAAAAGATAAAGTTTTGAACAATGGCGATAACAAAGGTACTCAACGGTATATGTTCAAAATCATTCAACTTTTACGAGAGTAAATAATATTAACGATCATGTCGAATATTCGTAAGTACGTGTTAGATCTACGATTTACAGTTCGAACATTTCTTACGTCAGATCATTGATTACACAAACTAGTCCATAAATGAAAACAACAAGCATTGATAAATCCTTCGATCAAACTGTAAACGTCTTCCATATTTACAGGGGCGTTTGTAACTTCAGCCAATTTACGATAAACTACGTAAAGATCCTGAACAAAAAAAGAAATATATATAATCAATGAAAAATCATTTATTAAAGGAAATAGAATAAACCAAAAGTTCGTGTATTTTTGGTTATTAAAATTTTACAAATAAACAATTCAGTTTATAATACAATAAATGCACGAACATTTCAGTTCATCCTAATAGAATTATTGTACATTAATTTAATAAATATATTATATTATTTACCCCTCTAGATGTGTGAAGATCAATCGTCAGCATAGTAAACGCTTGTAACGATCTATGATGTAATATCAAATGATGAGTTATATTCCCATCGGCTGTACTAAATTGTTTATGAAATTCTTGATATTTATTTTGAAGTACTTTGGTCAATGTTTGATACCAAGAGACAGGTTGGCTGCTAAGCGGACTAATTCGTGGTTCCAATTGAGAAAGTGGTTCTACGTGTGCCAACGAACACAATTCCATGAACTCTGTGTAAGTCATCGATGATTTGTTCTCAAATAATTTGTTCCAAAGTAAATGAGTCCTACATTGGGATGCACCGCGTTCGATCATGTCGATTATGTGCTGACGTGCTGCCTGAGCTTGGGACATGATCAATTGTTGCATCAATTGTTCGTGGGACGAATAATATCCCAAATAATTGACTGATTCCTGACGAATTTGTACCAAGTGGGGTGACGACGACGAACTCGACGTATTCAAAATGTTATGATTTTGAGTTAGGGGTGAATTAGGTACGGGTGGTGGGGTCGGTGCCATATTATTGATCGTTTTATTGGTTGATATTTTCTCATCGGATTCTTTAGAATTCCCGTTCGAATCGACATCGCTGTTACGCGAATCCGAATCCGTCGGATTGTTCATTTCACGATTGGAACTTTTTCTAACTAGTGGTGGTGGTGGTGGTTGAACAATCGTTGACATTGAATTAGATTCAGATGAATTTCCTGGCTGCGAACTGTTAGCCAATTTGATAACGCTATAAACTGTACGAAATTTGCCAAGTTTGTTGTTTTCCAAGTCACGTTTAGGATAAAGTTCGCGTTTGCTCGTTAACATCAGATAATATTTCAATGTTATCTCAGTTTTTTCTATTTCCGGTGATTGTTCGATTCTCGATACTATCAAAGCTACGTCGAAGTCATCGGTGTACCTGGTGTCTTGTGCATCGCAATAACTAACCAGAGGAGTACTCTGTAATTTAAACAACACGTATTCACCTTCCTGAGATTCTTGAGGTTCGTTAGACATCACGAAAGCTCGCATGCCATAAGTTTCCTCGTGTGCTAATAAATATGTGTACAACATACGAGCCGGTGTAGCCAAATTCCTCACATTGATCACATCTGAAAGATAACAAAATATTATTTAAATCAATAAATTAGATCGGTTTATTTAATTAAAATTAAAAGTCACTGTGTACCACTGTAAACGAGATTTCTCGCGTAGTTGGGTGCCTTGCTGTAATATTTATTAAAATCATCGAGAAAATGGGTCAAATGGTAGCCCTGTTGTAACGACCAAAAACCTTTTCCAGCAATGTAAGAGTGTATGCAACGTAAATGGAAATCATACGTGAACGAATGCAAGTGCATGTTGATTTTGATCTTATCGCAGGCATCAACGAAACTCAAAACGAACTGTAACAAGGAATTATTCAAATAGGAACCAAACAAAAATGCTTATAATAAATAATACGTACTTGATTGACCATGGCACTGTTGGTTTTGGTTGAAAGACGATTGCATTCGATTACGCGTAATTTTGCAATAAAAAATGGCTGGGACAAGTGAATTTCGAACAACAAAACACCACCCAACATAGATTTTTTCAAATAATGGGTCTGATGTGGGGTCTGTTCCGTGTCTCTAAAAAAATAAAATGTGTTAAATCAAAAAAGTTGTACAGAAAACAAGAAAGATCAAACAAAAAAATTATTCATACATTTTATCTTGCGATTCAACTTGAATAGGACTGAAACCTAATATCTGCAAATACTGTTTGTATTCGGTCAACATCGAATTGCAAAGTTCACGATGCCATTTAACGATCACAGCTTTCGATGGATCTTCTTTCAATTGGATTTGTTCGTTGGTTTGTTGACTAACGTTACTAGATGCAAGAGAACACGGTGGTGTCAAGGAATGATCTCTGGTAGCAGCTGATTGCAAACGCCATGTTGGTAAAAATAATAATGGTGTATGACAGAAGTGTATCAAACGAGAATGTTGTTTAAACGTGTTCAAGGTGTCGCAACAAACTGGTATGTTTGATGCTGAACTACGATTTTGCCATATTGTATACAATTTGTTCATATCCTCTGAACAATAAATACAATTATTCGTATATAGATTTTTTGAAATAGAAATTATTTGAAAACATTATACAATTACCTTTGGCTTTTCTTTCACGATGACGAAAATCTTGCAAATCGTATGCAGTTTTAACTACCGGATCAATATCGTCGTTCAAACTGTTCTCAGTTTCTTTAGATGATTGTCCAACTAACTGATTCCATGGTAAAGGATTATTCCTAGTGTGTTGTTTGGAAACAGATTTATTTTCACCGTGGGACGAGTGTGGAAATTTCGTTAAACTTTCCATATCGGTGATCTGATAATACTGGGAATTACTTTGTTCGCCTTGTTGATAATTGGTTGTTGGTTGATGATGAAATATACCTAATTTATGCATTATTATATTAGTGAAGAGTTGCGACCTGGATGAAAGCCAGGTACCCAAACTCGTGGTTTGTTTGATAAATTTTTCCGATCTCTCTTTCGACCAGTTGTACATATAAAATGTTATCTGCAAAATATATATATATATAAATTATTTTAAAGAAAGAAAAGAATAAGTGTCATTACAAAAGGAAAATAATATGATATATATTTACATTGCCGCTTTGAATTTCAGCTAATAATATTCGCTGTCTTGGTACAAAGTCGGACGGTAATATCAAAGGATTGAATTTTTGTAATAACTTTTGATCTATAAAATAATACATCCTGTCACGAGTTTATATTAATTAATAATAAAATCATTGATTAGACTTTTTTGTTTTTTTTGTTTTCTATACCTTTGGGAACAAGCAATTCCTCCTCGATCGTTTTACCGAATGACACTTTCCATTGATAAAAATTTCTAGCTATCAAAATACAATTGGTATAAGTTCCTTGCTCGTGTTTGCTAAAATCACATGACACGTAAACCGGTGACAATGTTCTCTCGCGTTCGTTCACATTGGTAACCCATCTTTTTCTACTTTCCGTATTTTCGCAAAAAGCTAAAAGATTAGGCGTACATGTGACAGTTTCGCTAAGAAATGGCTGACGATCGCGTAAAACGAACGCCCTGCTCGACGTGTCTGGTGCATGACCCCGTATTAAATTCTGAAGTTCACGAACTATAACGGGAATCGAGTGTCTATGATGAATAATAACTTCGTGTTTTTTCACAGCAGGTACGCCAACTTCCAATGCATATTTGAACCATTTAGTTAATATCGTGTGATAAATTTCGTTTAGTTTACCTTCCTCGCCAAATTCGTATTGGTTTATTACAATATTGTCAGGATCTTTAGATTGAATAGGTTTATTTTCTACAGGTGTTTCTTTATCCTCCGTTGAAATAACTTTTTCTATATTTTCCAATGGTTCGGTAAGAGCCGTAGACAAAAGATTATATTCAGTAACCAAATCCCATGTTGCGTATTTAACAGCAGCACACAACTTTTGTAACAATGCTTCCAAATTGACCCTACCCTGTTTCCAAATTCTAAATTCTATCACCTGTTTCGAGTTACTTTTACTCGTGTATATAGAAGTTGAGACTAGATTCTCAAAATGTTCACTTTTCAATTGTTCACGTAGATTCGTATCGCAGGATATATCATCATCATCATCGATCTGACGAATATTTTCGTTCTTTGAATCGGCAATTGCTAAAGCTATACAAGCTATTCCTTTGCTACCACTCGATGGACTTTGATTGTATAAAAATATATCAGATTCGGCAACCCTGTTCGGGGAACCTTCCGGTTGCGAATAATCTTGAAAGTGATAACACGTTCTATGATCGGTATATTTAGGTATATAAAGAAATTGTAATAAGTTTTGTCTGAGGTAATGTCCTAACGCAGCCATGTGAAGCAAGCAATGCGATTGAACGGACAATTGTACGATGGTTTCAGGATTTTTATACGGTTTTTGAATGAAGTGAACGTCCGCTGGTGTTAATTTGCACATAGGATTACGAGCTAACATAACGGATAATACTTCGAATACGGCATCGTCCAAACGATTTTGTAAAACTTGTACCAAGTCACATTTGACCAATGGTCCAGCTTCAGAAATACCGTGTACCTTCAATATGATCGAATCACCAGCTTTGTTAAGAATGTCAGATTCCTTTTCACCGAAAGATCGGACTCTAGGTCTGGTGTCATTTGTTAGAGAATGATCGTTTGAACTGTCAATTCCTTTGGCTTGTGATAAAGATGCAGCACTGTTGCTTCTCGAAACCGTCAACTTCTCGTCGCTTTCTGAAAGTTTATTTTGAAGTGGTTTCCCATCGTTGGTCTGTTCGTGAAGTCTCAAGTAAAACACGTTTTTATTGTTCTCTTGATAAACGAACATGTTATCTCGATTGTTAACTGAGAGCCAATTTAAAACACCATGGAATGCTTTGATACCACGTGAAAGACCAGACCTTCCTGGACCGGTTTTCAAACGTGGATGCAAGTAAAATGGTACTTCCCAAACTACAGGACAACGAAACATCCCTGGCGCAAAATTCAAAATCGAATTATTGCTTTGTAATGAACCACCCGAGTCGCTACTGGTATCCCCTCTCCAAACGTGATCCTCGTTAACTTCCGGTTCCAAAAGGTTGTCGCACGAACGCGTGTCGTGAAGATTTTGAAGTAACAAATATTGATTGACACGACGACAAATCATTTTTATTTGATTGACCACCATCTTTTGTATCAATTTGTAACAATCTACTTCCGGGGAGACCAATTCTAAGAATCTGTAAATACAAAAATTAGATGATTGGATTATTTAGATAATTAATAATGTCGAATTGATTTGTTATACCAACCTGCAATGAAAATATACATTGACGTGGCTAGTTTCTACTTGCAAAATTAGCCAGAAATTCGGTAGACTGTCTCTCCGTTTATCAAGTTCTATCAACCATTGCAAATCATCTTCAGAATTACTACTATCACCTTCGTAACCATCGTCAGTACCTACTTTGCCTTCACCAATGCTAGAAATATCAGAGTAACAACCTGGTGGATCGGTCGTGTCAAATTTTCCAGAATTTCGAAGTTCCCCGGATACATTTTGTTCGATATTTTCGCTGTTATCATCTGCGATCACATATTTAATTGCAATATACTTTTATTAAAAATTACAAAATGATTACAAATATTTATATAAATTACCTTTCCTTATTACAACACGATCCTTTAAATTAGAAACATTGTCGTTATCGTTGATTTCGTCGACAAAATTTGGCGTATTTTTAATAAAATAATACAAAAAACCTTCTTGCTGAATACAATAACGATCGATTTGTAATTTCTGCAACTCTTCCAAAAATTTCAATACACTGTTCTCCGATGGGAATACAAAATGGAGGGGTACTTTGTCCATAGAACAACTGGTTCGTTCTGTTGATTCAGAAACGTGACGTGCCACGAATTTCAATGTTTTTTCTGTCGGTGGTGAACGATCCAAAAGTGCTGTAGCCGTTTCGTCTTGCAACAACCATTCGATTTCGTAAGTCAAATTGGTGATAGCACTGTGCTGATGTAGTGGAAGATGTTTCATACTGTCAGGCAAATTTTCCGATTTCTTTTCGTCGCTCAAACTTCTTTCGTATTCAACAACGTGAACGTTGTCCATTGTAATATCAAAAAATACATTATTTTTCATATTAATGCAACGTTTTGCGGTAACGTCTACCACTTCTCTGGGTAAATTCAAACAAATAATACCCAGGGTTACTTTGATATTACTCAAATTAATCAAATCCATTTCAGTGTCGTCATTTTCGATATCCATTCTTTGCATAATTTCGTTTAAACACGTTGGAAGTAAATTAACTAACGTACTTCTACATCCAGAACGAAAATATATCGAACAACTTAATCTTAAAAACAATGGTTGTTCTTTATCGCATATGTTGTCATCTTGTAACTCGTTATTGGAGTACACGCAATTAGGTAATTTACGAAAATCACTGGAACCCGTTGCGTTTCCATCTTCGTTTTCTAAAAAAACACAAATCAATGAAATTGCATACATTAAATGTTAATAAATAAATAATTAATAATTACCTTGACGCGATGAATCGTCCAATTTGCAATCGATTTCCGAATGAAATGTGAATTCGTCATCGCTGTCATCGGATCTTTCAAAGTTAGCTCGATCCTGAAGAAATTGAAGAATTCAACATTTTAGGAAACCTAATTAGCATGTGATAATGAATAAAAACACGTACCGTTTTTTTCGAAAGCCACAATGGCGAACAATAATAAAATTCAGGATGAGCTGGTACAGGTCTGAAGGCAACAGTTATCATACTTTCAAACTTATCTTTTATCAAATCGTGCAAGGGTTTAACGTCACAGCAAACATTGCTGTTCAAGTGATTTAACAAGTTACCATCTTGGGATATACTCAAATGTCTGCATACCGATTGCAAATAATTAGTAATATCTATTTCTATCAAACTTTCTTCGCATAATTCAACAGCTGCTTCCATGTCTTCGTAACTGAGTGGTTGCTGAAGTGCTAAAGATTTGTAAACAGCAGCTACGTAACAATGACAATGAGCGAAATTTAATATCTTGCAATGTTCCATTAAACTTTTTTGATCTGTAAATTAAAAAACAATTAATAAATACGATTATTTTAATCCTACGTTTCTAATTTGGATTAATTCAATTGATATTTGTATTAAACAAAAGTTATGACGTTTTATTGTTATTTCAATTGAAATGTTCATTATTTCGTTGTTCTTTGTATGATTTAAACAATTTTGGTATTATTTCCCCATGGTGTGTTTTAATAATTAAATTTTGAGAAATAGGGGTACATGGTGGTTCAATAAGAACTTCAATTTAGATACCCTATGTTTTCAAGTTCATAAAAATTTGTTTTTCATTTTTGGATTATCTAAAATTGAAGTATTTAGGATCCAAAGATGGTTGGAAAAATTTAAGTTAGGTAACGTGAAGCTTCAAAATGAATTTCACATTAAAAACATGAGACATTGTTGGATCTGATTTACTGATGACAAAAATTATAGAATGTAATAAGGAAAATAGGTAATTAATTACAAAGTAATGTCAGGTAATTCACCTCCTACCCTTACGAAGGCCAATTTGTATCTAAAAAAAGCAAATGCTTTGTTTTTTGATAGGATTGTTGAGATCCTATCGACTAGGAACTGTTGCAACCAGATCAAACTGATACATCAAACCTATATCAATTAATCAAGACTGGATACAATAATTTATAAACTTCATTTATCATTGTATAACTTAAAATGTGTTGTCTTTCAACATGACAATGTCAAATCTCAAGTTTGATCATATTCATTTGACCTGACACCATCAGACTACCAATTGTTGAAATTTTGAGAATGTTCAAAGATCAGTGATAAATTTTCTGCCTTCAAAGGACCTTATTGGACAGGTGGAAGAAAGGTCATAGAAAACAATGATCAATATTTTATTAATTAATCTAACTTTGTATGCTTTTAAAAACGACATAACTTTTTTACCACCATAATTTGAACAAAATTTGAATGAACCTACCGCTCGTTGTGTTATCAGAATCCTCACTTTTCGGTTCAGGCGAGGAAGTTTTCATATTGTTCATTAATTTAGAATGCATAAACTCTTCGCGATCTTTCTGACCAATCCGAAATGTATGATCCTGATAAATATCCTTGTTACGTGGTGATTCCAATTTTTCTATCAACGCGTCGATTAATAAAGTCAACGAACAATTGTAAACGTAAACAGGAATCAAAAGGCTTTCAGAACTGCTGATAATTTTCGTATTATTTTCGACAGGTGTATTGGATCGATTAGAATTAGTATTGTTGCCCGATGTTGATTGTTCGAAAGATTCGATTGTTTTTTTTTCATACGAGTTATCCGTTGAACAATTGATCTCGTTTACTTCAAAGTTAGAACAATTTTTGTCAATGGAAGACGACGCTTCTTTTTCGTTTTGATTTCTATGATGTGCTATAAGATAAACATCTTTTTCGGATGCTGGTAAAATGGTCATGATCACGTGGGTCGAACTTATTCCTTTGACGAAACAACGCCAATGGGGATGGTCGTCATCCGATGGGGTTTCATTTTTTTTATTTCCTTCTGTGGACAATTAATTCTTTTTTTTTAAATGTATCAGATCAATTTAAAAATTCGTATACGCATTACATTGTTTAAAAATTTCGCAAAAATGCGCACGAAACTTTTAGACTCGTCTGATATAATATTTGTTTGTTGTTTTTATTATTATTATTAAAAAAAAAATGAAGCAAGATAATTGTCGTATTACCTTTAGAAAAAAATATTGAATTGGAATCCTCGTCGCGTGGCCTATTAAAAAGCATCTCCGTAAATTTTTGCGATTGGCTATTAGTTAATTGAAGTTCTTTGTTATGTAAATGTTTAACGCGTTTTAAAAATCCTTCCATGAGAATCCTGTTAGCACTTTGTCTTCCTTCCTCAACATGATCCGTACCTAACGAATCATTTTTTTTTTATATATTAATTAATTATCAGTCTAATATATAAAATATCCTTCTTTGTAAAAAACAAAGAAATATATAGAATTGTATCTTTGTATAATTATTATCTATTTCTTCGCGACTATTATCGATAAAAAAAAGATAAAAAAATTCTAATCTAAACTTATCTTTCTAATAAACACGCTGCTAATCATTAAATATAAAAAAAAAGAAAATTATTCTACGTTCTACTAATCGTGATACAAACAAATTATTATGAATATTACATAATGTAAAAATAACAAAATTAATTTGTAATCGTCTTTAAATTAAATTCAAATAATCAAATATATATATAATCATAATCTATTATATATATGATTAATATTATTATTATCTTCTATTCTAAATATATATATTATTAATATTATTATTATCAATAATGAAAAAAAAAAAACAAAGAATAAATGAGAAAATACATTTCTAATCGTATTAAAATTCAAATCAGATAATCAGATAAATTTTATAATCTATTATGATTATATATATACACTGTGCAAATTATTAATACAAAAATTATTCTACGATTCATAGACACGTATTATTATTATTATCATCATCATAATCGATATTACGTAATATAGATACAAACAAAAAAATAAATAAAAATAAAATTCGAAGGAAATAATTAAATAATAATAATCTATTTTTCGAACCATTGGCAAACATCGAGAAGATTAATTCGCCTTGTTGGCATTTAGGTAGTATACTGAGTGCATCGAAGGTGAATTGCATATGATGTATCCTTTCGTCGATCATCGTAGATCCCTTAAAACATCCTGCAGAATTTCCATAACCATTGGAATCAACGCTACGATCGTTGGTCTTTAATGTTTGAAAACCCTGACCGGAAATCACCTCGTTGCCATTTTCTATTGGCGTCACCTGGCAGAGTTGGCTCAGGTATTCGAGTGTTAAAAGTGCGTTCACGCATTCTTCGTCTATTCGAGCGATCTATCATCATCATCATCATCGATTATTATATCGATTATTTATCATATATAACGTTTGTCAATAAAAAACAAACAAATAAATAATCCAATTATCAGGATGGGAAGTGCACATACTTTTGTTTAATATTTTTATTAATATTATTATGTGTTTTTTAATCATTATACTACTACTACTACTATTACTATTATTACTACTATATAAAAATAAATAAATAACAATGAAAATGTTAATAAAATATCTGTTATTACATGTGAGTTACATTATCTTCTAATTTAAAATTGCTAAGTTGTTTTATTGTTCTATTTTAATTCCTATAAATATAAAAATAAATGATATATATTTTATAATTGTTGTGTATATTTAAATGATATTTAGTACGTATGGTGTAACCAATTTTTACAAATATATTTATCGTTAAATTAAAACGTCTTATTATTAACGATCGAGTATGGTATTCTCGTTAAGATCATCGTCAAATATATTATCTTTCTTGAGATAATAAATTATAATACAATTTGTTTTTTAATTTAAAATGTAAATCCAATTAGATGACGACTAGGAAGAACCAGGAATAAGTTGGAGGAGTTGAATCTCACTTAATTAACAAAGCGTAGAGACCACTTCTCCACTTAAACCTAGACACCTTCTGTTATCTTCCAAATTATATATATATATATATTTATGTGTGTGTGTGTGTTTTTAACTTAACGTAGTTTATTTTGTCTTCTTCGATGCGAGGTCCCACGAAATCGAAAATTATCAGAAATGTTGAATCAATTTTAAAGATGTGATTTGACCGACGATTATTATGCACGACCTTGAGCTGGAAGAGTTAGATCTGGCATGTTGTTAGAGTTTTTATTACTCACTGCCTAGATCCTCACTTCCAACTGAGGGTCGTGCAAATCTTTCTCTCTCTCTCTCTCATTTTTTTTTGACACTGTATAGAATCTTGTCAAGAAGAAGAAGAAGAAGGGTGTGTAAATCTTCAAAGAATCCTAATACCATGATTCGATTACCTGTTCATCCCCTTAAATGATAGATCATTGACAAAAAAAAAATTCATTCGAACTTCGTACACTCACGGATAATCGTTTTTTTTTTCTCTTGAACCCCCCTTTAAAATATTGTTTATATTTAACCCCCCCCCCCACCGTTCGCGTAATTTTGTTTTATTATTTATCTATTTTTCTTTGGTGTATTCACTTTTATTTATTTAACACAATCAAATCGATAGATTTTTCACACAATTATTATTAGACACCAATATAAATACTCTCGAACCGATTGAAATTGTATTTTAGAGATAAAATATTGTATGAACAACAATATATATATGAAACATCTCGGATAGTACGAACTTCATTTAATTTTGACACTTTTTTCATTTTGTTTTATTAATTCCTAAGAGACTCGATAGAAATAAATAATATAAAGATCTTGTATAAAGAAAAAAAATAAAATAAGTGACTCAAACATTGCACAAGCTTAGATGTGTCTTCTAATTGTAATAATTAATTTAACACTTGCAAATGCTCGGAAAAAAAAAAACAATATATTACTTTCGTGATACGATAATTAATTAATTATTTTCGTTCGAGTTAAATAATATAAAAAAAACAATAAAATAAATGATTTAAAATATTGCACAGGCCTCGTTTTGTTTTCTATCAATTAATTTCACACTCGTAAATCTTTTGAAGAAACAATATTATAATTTCGTGATACGATAGTTAAATAATTATTTTTTCGTTCGAGGTAAATAATATAAAATAAAAAATAATAAAATAAATAATTTAAAATATTGCACAGGCCTCGTTTTGTTTTCTATCAATTAATTTCACACTCGTAAATCTTTTAAAGAAACAATATTATACTTTCGTGATACGATAGTTAAATAATTATTTTTTCGTTCGAGTTAAATAATATAAAATAAATAATTTAAAATATTGCACAGGCCTCGTTTTGTTTTCTATCAATTAATTTCACACTCGTAAATCTTTTGAAGAAACAATATTATACTTTCGTGATACGATAGTTAATTAATTATTTTTTCGTTCGAAGTAAATAATATAAAATAAAAAATAATAAAATAAATAATTTAAAATATTGCACAGGCCTCGTTTTGTTTTCTATCAATTAATTTCACACTCGTAAACCTTTTGAAGAAACAATATTATAATTTCGTGATAGGATAATTAATTAATTATTTTCGTTCGCGAAGTAAGTAGTATTAAAAGAAAATATAAATGTTTTCTATTAATTAATTTCACACTCGTAAATCTTTTGAAGAAACAATATTATACTTTGGTGATACAATAGTTAGTTAGTTAGTTAGTTAGTTAGTTAATTATCGTTCGTTCGTACACGCCGATAGGATGATACTAAAGTCGTATCATACTCGTAATCGTCTTTTCAAATAGATATCAAAGAAACACGGTTTGAAAATTTTTAAAAAAGAAGATCCAACCCGTTCAACGTCGATCGCGTTAATGTACAAAACGAAAAAGGTGAGAGTCTCTAAGTTAACCGTGCTAGTAGTCAACGTGTGCATTGGGCCCTATATATATAAAATATATATATATATAGAAAAAGAAAGATCAAAGTGAAGAGAGAGAGAGAAAGAGAAAAAGAGAAAAAAAGAGATAGAGAAATATGTGTGTGTGTGTGTGTGTGTGTGTATCATATATACATTTAGATATGTGCATGTATCTACATATACAAAGAATTTATCTATAATATTTAACCTTTTATAAGTGTTTAAGATTGTAAAAGAGTGTTCTCCGTTTGTGCGCGCGAGCACACCCTCAAACAAGCAAGCAAGCAAGTAACCAACGCCATGAGAGACAACTGATAGGAAAATCCCGTTAGGGAGGCCCTCATCGATATCGAAGCCCCACCCTGATGATAACGATATCGACACATCGCGATGGACACTTGTCTACAATTATTTTTCTATCTTTCTCTTATTTTTTTGTAGCATTTTTTTACTTTATTTTATATTATTTTATTTTATTTTATTACAGTGTCTCTAGTTCACCCTTATATTTTCAAGCAGTCATGCATTTTATCTTTGCCAAATTAGAACGGTATTCAAATTCATTGAGATTTTTTAAAAATATATTTATAAGTTATGTTTGTAGCATGATTGTTATAAAATGATCGATGAAAATGTTTCTATTTTTATTTTATTTTATTTTATTTTTCATTTTATACTTTCATGAAGTAATCATGCTACATGATCGTCAAATTAATTTTCAAAATCTTCATAATTAATTAGAATTTTTAAATAATATCTACGAGCTTTGTTTATCACGATTTGTAAAATGATTTATTAAAGGATGACAATGTTCGTATTTTTTGAACAAATATTTTTTCTTTTATTCTCTCCCCCTCTTATTCTTTTCTCACCTATTTAAAAATACATTTGTATTAGCTCAACGTCAATAAAGTGTCCTTTAACTCCTCCCTAACTTTTCGAAATGGGGCCTTACCGAAGACTATTTAACTTCTTCCTTGGTATCTTTGAATTGGCAGGGAAAATATCTATCTGTATTACGATAAAAATGTTATTTCTTCACACCTGACTCATCATGGGACAACAAAATATATTTAAAAAAAAGAAATAAAAAAATGATAATACAATTTTTCAATAAACTCGAATAAAATACGATAGTATATTTATTATTTTTACGATCGTCAAATAATTTGTATAAACCATTTCAGTGTTAATAAAAAGAAAATTAATCAAATAAATAAATAAATAATTTTGTTGATTGAAATAAATGATTGAAAAAAATAAATACGTTTGAGTTATCAACACTTCGTATATAAACCACCAGTGTTAAAATACAAAATGAAAATTAAATAAATAATTGTTCTGATTGAAATAAATTGTAGATACGTTTAAGATATTAAAACCGATGACGATGATGATGAACGAATGAAAAGTAGATAAATCAGTTCTTATCTGTAGTGAAATCTATACGCAGTCGAGAGAATTACGCGTTAAATACGAAGATATACGACAAATTTTCGGAAATTCGAGGAATATTTGAACGTTTTAATCGTTTCACGATCATCATCGGATTTGACACGTTATATCGATTGCTGATAAGAGTCCTAATATCGTTAAAAAAAATTCTAAACGAACTAATTTATATATTCAAACATCTTTGCCTGTTGCATCAAAAGCAACAATCAAATTGGCATAGTAATATTTCGTTAACTATAATAATTATTTGATTATTATTATTATTAAAAGAAAATGAGAGAGAGAGAGAGAGAGAGAGAGAGAGAGGAATAAACAATTCCAGAAAATGAAAATGCACTTCGCGAGCTTAAACTTACAATTAAACAGGTGTCTTTATCAGAAATGGAAGAAAAGATAAGATTTGTGATAAAGTAACGGCTATTTGTAACATTATAACAAGAAAAAGAAACAAAGAGAATGATTATTACGAATATTTCTGATAAATTTTGTCTTGTTTTGTTTAAACAATAGACGTTGTTGATCGTTCTTAATTGAAATATGTTATTATTTGAAATTATTAATCAGATAACATTTTTCCATTCTTTTGTAATAAAATTCAACAACGTAGTATGTATCGATTACATTCCCTAGCGATTGAACCAAATTTTTTTGTTCTTATTACCAATCATATCTTGATTAACAATAAGACGTTTCAATATACACAACCATACTAATCTCTGATATCAGGACAGGTAAATGCTGCTTAACGTTTGATAAAGAGAGCAAGTTCTCAGCAAAATAAACCTCTTACTGTCCTTCTAGGTCAGAATATATATATATATACTTAAATAATATACCAATTGTTACCATTCAAACCTCTTATCATCATCGTCGTCGTTACAAGTTAGCTTCGAGATAAAGAAAACGGAACGATTTTATTTTTTTTGAGAGAGAGAGAGAGAGAGAGAGAGAGAGTAAGAGAAATTCTTTTACAATCTTAACTTCGTGAATTTTCTTTTTGTTATTCTTATTGATATATCATGTCAATAAGAAAAATAATATATATAATAATACATATTAATATTAATAATAATTATATATATTTTTAATTAGTGACAATATTCGAGTGTGAGAGAGAAAGAGAGAGAGAGAAAGAACAAAGTGAAACTTCATTCTATTTCTTTTCTGTTTCTTTTCTTTTATTTGATTTTTTGTGATACCTCAAGTCTCTATCTTTGCTATCCTATCAAAGTTAAAGATAGGAGAGGTACTCCAAACGTTATATCTTAAACGACGACGTGACTGAACTTTCGTTTGCTTAATCCTCGATACCGGTATTGTTTCTGATAATATTCATTACAAAGTTCGCAGATTGTTCATCATTCTTCTTCAAGGTCTTCTTCTTTTTCTTTTTCTACTTTTATTTCGTTTTCTAAATTTATTTTCAACAAATTTGTCTCTCGATAAAGATAATTAATTATTATTCCTCGTCGTCATCATTAATTGAATCTAATCTAATTTTTGTTTTACAAACAAATTATAATCCCCGAGCTTTTAAATTGATACACAATCTTACCCATACGCACCAAATCTTTCAAGATAATTTCTACAATTTAATTATCCAACTGTATGTACTTGGTTTTTTTTTTTTTTTCTCAATTCTTTATATTAAATGTTCCAGTTTTCTTAAGAAATTCATCGTAATCGTGTCTAATAACAGGGACGTGCTATACACTGATAAGTTATCAATCTTGATACTCTTTAACTCAAGTACTTAAATTCATCTTATCGATTTAAACTGGAATAGTCTAACGATTGCATTTCGACGAATCAAAATTATTATATAAATAATATATTATCGTTTTATCAGATAATAATAATAAAAAAAAAAAAGGAAAATTCTATTAACAACAGGAAATGACGGAATGATATAGATAAATTACAAAATAAATATTTAATAATCAATAATTAAATTCAACTCACCGCATCAGGAAGTTGATGATATTGTAGAGAGTGTAAGAAATCAGCCGCATGCCTACTCAACATACCAACATGACCATATTGCGGTTCGATCCAAATTTCTGTGATTATTTGAAAATCACCAGACCCTTCGCAGTCATCCGTGCTAAGATCACCATCCACAGTACCTAAAAAGTTTCATTATTTATTAATAATTTGATCTGTTTAACAATATTTCTCATACTCTCTACGATACCTTCGTCGGTGTCTTCGTCAGATTGATCTGCCTCTAAAGTATTGTTCAATACTACTTGCGGTGGAAATAAAATATATTGTATGATGCATGGAAAGTGTTCTGAATTTTTTCCAAGACCTTGCATGTTTACTTCCAATACCATACTTATGATACCAGCTGCCGAATAAGCGAAATAGAAACCTTCCTCTAAACGCATTCTAATTGGAAAAAGAGAAAGAGAGATAGACATGTATTATCAAGTAAATTATATGTTAGAATGATCTATGAGATATTTACTTTGTAATAGTTGAGAGAATCCTGGCGATTGCTGTGATGTTCAATCGTGGTAATGTAATACCAGGAACGATATGTACAAAGGGTCGTTTCACGTGCCACAGCCATCGATTATGATACAAGTATCTCGATAGGGTCGTAGTATGATTGTTGGTCAATATCGTTGAATTTCTACTAGAATTCGTATGAGCATTATCGGGAAAGACTATAGTACTTGGATCCGTAGGTACGCGTTCGTAACGTATCAAAATTTTTTCTAAAGGTTTGTGTATAACCGTGCAACAAAGTGTTTCACGATATTCCATTGGTCTATTCGGCAAAGTTAGTTGAGATAATCTTTCTATAAGATCGACCACGACATTATGCCTGACACCACCTTCGGTTCCACCTGTGAATGCAATATTTAACACGACACAGAGGGCCTTACAATTAACACGTATTAATGAAAATGCAACTGGTGGCTTCTCTACTTCTTTGTATATAAACTGGACATATGTATGATTCTCAACTAGTACAAATGTTGCCCAGGTCTTCAACATGGCATACAGGACAGCAGCTGCTTGACGACATTGAATCCATTGAAATCTTCCATTCTGATTAGCCTGATGCAAATATTTCGGTAATGGTCGATCATGCGATAAAAGTAATGTGATTCTTTGCGTGTGCATCCAACGTGCCCACTGTACGATTTCCATTGATACTACTGGATGCCATATTTGTCCGAACTGTGGGCAGGCAGCATCGCTAAATTCAAAAATACCTATAGTATTTTGTTTCAATACTTATTATAATTGCATTCGATTAATTGATAATTTACCTAAGCTGAAGAGTATTAGGCACAGGGTGAGCTGATAGATTAAAAACAGGCATTCCACTTCTAATAGTATCTGGTATGTTGTACCAACTCCAACCGGATCCAGGAAACCAACTAAAGTGTGCCAACATGTTGTCACTTTCAGTCAAAGATTTAATGGCTACCCAAAAACGTGAGACTACACCTTGACGATATTGCGACTTTAATGGTTTCTTGGATAAACACGTTATGTCGTGCAGAAATTCATAAGGTGCTGAAAACAAAAATAATTCGATGTTATTTAGTGGATAAAGAACTATATTGTCAATAATTATAACGCACCTTCTATAGTAATTGTATATTGTATAGTGTTAGAAACAGACAGAGACTTTGAAGACCAGGGACACGTTACCAAATGTTCCAAAAAAACATTGCTTTTCCATAAAAGAACAAAACATATTTCGAGAATGTCATCTCTTATTGTCGCTCTTTTAATTAAATATCCTTCGCGCAAACGACAACACAATAAACTACTCAAAGTGCAGGTAACTTGATCGTCAATTTGTTTCTTTCTTAGAAGATGAACCGGTTTGTGTCCATAAAAAAATGTATTATTAGAATGCCACTTGGTTTGTTTAGTTGGGATTGTAAAATTGCACGTGTCGCGATACAATTGCCAACAGAAAATATTTTTATGATATATATTTATATCTTCCTCGGGTTCAGGTACCTACAAATGTATGCCAACATTATTTAAATCTTCATTATAAATTATTGATAGTATATATAGAAAATAAATGTATGTACAATTTGTGGCATATAAGTCATATAACTTCCTAAAGTTGCAGCTGCGAGAAAACACAAGAGATCCTGATAAGGGATTAATCCATCTGCACAATGCGGATGGTACATGCTACCCACATGTACAAAGCTACACGCAACAGTCGTTGCACGCAATTGTTGCATAATTGAATCTAATAAGTGAACATCTGTTGTACTAACTATACCATCGGTAATAATAATCAAATCTGTAAGAAAAATTTAATTTTTATACAAATACATACACACACAAAGAAATATTTAAATATTATTCTATAGTAAAATTGAAATAAAGTGTATATAAACTTACGCGCACAGCTATGTTCTGGTAACAAAGTAAGAGCCAACATTCCATATCGCAGCATGTTAATAAAGTTACCTTCCGGTAAAATCATGGCAGTATTACCGACGCAATTATTATTTTTATTATAATAACTAGTACCATCTTCGAAAAGACCACCGACCAAACGCTCATTTTCAGCCTTCAAAGTTTCCAATTGTTGATTAGCAATAGCTGCTACAAAAGATACTTTTTCTTCTAATAAATTTAATTGCTTTTCTAAATGTTGTATTAGACTATTAACATTATTGGCAGTAAGCAGCCATCCTTGTACCAACACTTGTTGGGCCGGACTTGTAAGAAATGGAGTATGTGCTATCACCGTCACAAAAATCTCGGGTTGTAATATACGCTTACTTCCTGGAATTGTAAACTGCAGATATGGAAAATAGATGAAATTAAAGTATTTTTAATAAGCATAGGAAATGCTTGATCGTGCTTACCGGTCTAGTTATTCTTTCAAGATATATTTTCGTAGCTAAATATACCTCATCTATTACAATTGCTCCATGCTGTATATCCTTTAATGAAATAAAATAAAAAGAATATAAATTATTAATGCATTAACTGAAATTAATTTAATAAATGAAATATTGCTTACAATGGTAGCAAGCGATGGACTCAAATCCAAACTAAAAACCATTCTATACTTATGCGCTAGAAAAATGATAGAAGTAGTTCCTAAAACTTTATACAGAAATTGATGACTAGTATCAGCTGACCAAGATGCAGGCGATCCATTTGGTAACACAGATACAACTTCCAACTCTGGTGCATCTTCGTAATTAGTATTAGACTGTTGAATTTCTATTACACTATCCAAATGTTCTAACATCCATTGCGCTCTTACATTGCGGGAGATTGGAAATCCTCTCTTCATTAACAAAAATACAGTGCCTGCTTCCAATACAGTTTTCTCCTATTGATGTAATAAAATCATATGAGACAGACTAGCAAAAAATAACAAATGGATTAATGAATATTCTTACCTCGTTCTTTAATTCAGCCATATCACTTGTTCACTTGAATTCTTAACCGAAGGGTCAACATTGAAATGAATCAATTTCATTTCATACCATAACACAATAATGAATATGTATCATCTTAATAATAAATAATGCATCACTATCATCAACCAATATACTTTTGTTTATAAGTATCACAATTCAAAGGTTATGGATCACATTGCTACCTTTTTATTCTCTAATATATTTTTAGTGTTAATATCAAAGAAAAATACGTCTGCAATATAACCTCAAAAAAATCATGCATAGATAATTCTACGCACGATACAAATTAATAGTTAAATTTGCTTACAATTAAACAAAATAGAAGAAAACGATATCATTGATCTCTCAGGGCAATAATTATTAATGCAACAAATCGTCATACAAAATGATTCGATATGTTTTGTATCGATCATAACCTTCATAGTACTTCTAGTTTGATATATCGTAACATAAACTACGCATACGACAGAGTCCTCAATTATTTTTTTTATATTAAATACAAGAAATATACATAGATAATAACAACGAGTAAAAATTAGAAAAAATCATCCTGTCGATAATGACCAGAAAAAAAAATCTGCAATTAATTGATCTCTTTCTCTTTCTTATCTCTTTCTATCTTTCTCTCTCTTTCTCTTGCTATTTAACCATGTGTGTATAAGCCCATTTAAATTAACGTGCACTTACTCATCAAAGAAAACAGAAGTGCATAAAAGATCACAAGTCCCTTTTTTACGTAACTAAAATCATCTTAGTTAGAACCGGGACCACCAGTGGGCGAAAGTAGGTACTTAAAGCGATGACGGTACAATATTATCAAAAAATGCAGAGATATAACGGTACAATCCTATTAAAGAATACTATATTCTTTGATAGTCTATGATGGTATATGATATATTCTTTGATATTATATATAGTATAGTTATATTGTTATACACTAAAAATTAAATAATAATATTTAATTTAATATAAAAAAGAGAAAAGTATAAAAAACGTGTGTGCCTTCAGAAATGCATTAAAACATATATTTTAAAAAAGAGTCATTTAAAGCGTTCAAATAGAAGAAAATCTGAGAGGTTTGTTGTTAAATCCCACGATGATCACCTGTAACAAGAAGAAAACAATATTAGTAATACAGTCAAAAGTGATACAATAGCCTGACATATAAATCGTCCGATTCGCAGATGCACTTTTCAATTGAATTCTCTATTTATTTTAATCAAATCTCTATTAAGTGTTGTAATGAAATTGAATTTAAACGCGTGATTTTACATTTATATAAAAGTTATAAAAAGAAAAGGAAAAATACAAAAATAATATTAAGTTATTAAGAAAAATAATACCTAATAATTATTATATGAAAAACTTTAAAACTGCATTATATAGAATTGAAAAATTACAAGTTTAATAAAATACGATTGTAGTGAAAAATCTTAAAGACGAAACAAGAAAAGAAAAATTATTTTAATATTATCCAAACGTTATATAGGCTTCAAAATTTAATAATACAAAAATTTTAATATTTCAGACTCTAACTAATTAAAAACTGATGCACCTTTTGGACGATATAGACACGAATTTGGTGTCCCAAGGAGATGGAATGGTCACTCATCTCCAATTACAACTACAAATTAATGACGAGCAAAAAAGTAATATAATAATATATGACTAGAAAGCTATTCTCGAAAAGTTCGAACTTGCTGTCGAACCTTTGAAAATAACTCAATAAGTCTAGTAGTTGCCCACTTGATACCACAAAATTGTGGGGGCCTCTTCGGCATTAGCCTCTTCGGCCTTTAGCCTCTTCTTTCTTCATGCCCTAAACTTTGCTGTGAGGCTTTTTTTAACAATTACTCGAATGCCTCAACAGATATTTGATCTAATCGATGAACCTATTATTAACACTTTGCATTTAAACAATTAAATAATATCAAATAAAAGCAGAAACTTTGTAATAAATCTTATGGTCTTACTTTTTTACTCGACCACTTTTATCTTTTATCTTTACTCTACTTTGTATTTACTATGCATATATAAGAAATGAAGTATTTTCAGTAGGAATTACTAAAGAGCAAAGCGTTAATATATTTAATATTAAGTAAGTATCAAACGTATTCAGTTATCTTTACTTTTTCGAAAAAGAATTAATATTTAAGAAAACGCAAAGACTTCTGAATCGTTCGATACTGATTTATATCTCGCGGTACATAGTATCAGCAATATATGGAAAAAATACAAGAAATATTTAAATGATAAATGAATCTAAAGGTTGCTGAAACTTTGTATAATATCCGAAGAAGAAATTTTCCACTCCTGAGTGGAAATTACAATCGCGCGACTTCTCCGGTCTCTACCTACTTACAAA